CTGAAGGGAGAGGAATACAGGAGACAACTGAGTGGAGAGCAACTCCGTATCTTCTGAAGTAACAACACTGGACAAAGCTGGAGCTTTGCCTAAAGTCAAGACATCTGTAGATCCTGCTTTGGACAAAAGAACTGGTTTGGAAACTGCTTATGGGTCTGTGGTTGTGATAAATTGGTGAATTCCTTTCCCTACTTCACATGCTCCCAGCACAAGTTTCCAGCCGGCTGTTCTTAGTCAATCAGCCCCTGCATTCGGTAAATTACTTCACCAAAGGAAGCAAATGGTCCTCCTACATTGTTTAGTTTTATCTCTAAAAATGTCGATAAGGTTCCACCATTTGCATTCAATTCCTCATCTTCTGTTGACGAGTCTTCAGGCCCAAAATCTAGCGCATGGTCAGTTTCAAAACCAAAAACAGGTCAGTTAAACATGCACCTATTGTGTAATCCTTTGATTCTACCTTCCCTCCTCCCTTAATGAGAAGTGCGATTCATGGTTATTTCATCCCATGTTGTGGTTTCTTTTGTTTCATTTGAATTTTAATTTAGAAGAGGAAAACCCCAAGGACTGCATGAACTGATACAGTTATTCCTTTATAATCTGCAAAACTGATATCGTATAACACGTTGAAGTAGACAATGATAAGTCTCAAAACTGAAAGGGGGGAACTTGTTGAATGTTGTCCCAAAGGCTTCTTATAGGGCTTAACAGACCATTGTGTGCATACTTTAACCCTTTGTCCCCTCAATCTTTCCGTCTTCCACCAAATGTAGAAGTTAAATTTTATGCACATTGATTCAATGGCCCACATCTTTTTGTTTCATTTTCTAAGGGTGATTGATGAAGATAGCAATTAGTCAATTGTATGTACATTGAGAATTTGCAATTGTGGACAAAGATTTCCCCTGGAACTTAGATGACTGAAATAAAAAAGTAAAACTACAGATTATGGTTGAACATACATGATAGAATAACTACTGGAAGAGATATTTAAGTCTATATGTTACCTGGTACAGTGATTATGGGAGTGGATATGTGATACCCAGCAGGATGGACGTACCTTTGATGCAAATGTTTTTACACTGAGTCAGTTGTTTGGGTCATCTGCATAGCATTTTAATCTGTTCTACTTTCTTGAGGTATCTCTGCTTGGAAGGGTGTAAAAGTAGTTCACACATTGACACAATCACATTTTCTAGTCTTCAACTTTAGAGAATTTGTCCCTTTTGTGGCTGTTTTTAATGTATTAACTTTAAGCTACTCTCAATTTGAATATCTTTGTGTATGCAGTTTGGCCAATGAAGCTTCTGGTCGCACTGACACTGAGCTGAAAATTTTGGAATCAGATAATGATGATAATAAGAACACTCGGAAGGCTGCAGATATGATAGGAAAATCAGAAACTCCATTGTCTGCTGTATCAGCTTCAACATCAGCAAGCAGCATTTTCTCCTTCAGCAACCCTGCCAACAATTCAATTCCAAATGCTTCAAGCCTTTCTATTTTTTCTTCACAGCTTCTGCTCTAGCTTCCAGTAATTTAACAAACCAAAATTCCACCCTTTTTTCCTCTTTCACCAGTGCTGCCACTCTGATTACTACTGGCAGCGCCGCCGCCTCAATTGCTGCATCCAATAACAGTCTTTTTGTATCTACTGCAGCATCTTCACTCCCAGCGGCACCCATTTTCAAGTTTGGGTCCTCTCTTTCTCCACCAACTCCTGTTTCAGCTTTCTCAATGACATCTAGCAAAGAATGCACAGATATAAAGGATGAATCTAAGAAGGAAAACCTAACCAGCTCACCTTTTGGTGGTACATCATTTGCAATGCCAAGCACAGGGAGTGGTATTTTTGGACTAAATTCTTCAGTCACTTCATCAACTGCCAATAATCAGTCACAGGGTTCTCTTTCTGGCACTGGCAATGGAGCCATGGTTAGTGCACAATCAGCTGCTACCAGATCAGGGGTGGCAACTGTGTCACAGAGCATGTCTGTTCAATTTGGTTCATCTTCCTCATTGCCAATCACTGGGACTTCTGGGATTTCATCTTTTAATTCTAGCAGTTCTCTCTTAGGTTCTGCAGTTCCTGCAGCTAAACTGTTTGGTTCGGGTTCTAGTTTCAGTTTGAGTTCTTCAGCTTCTTCTTCAGAGATGAATCAGGTTAACTCCACTAATGGGCCTACTTCTAGCATATTTAGCTTTGGTGTCAGTTCTTCAGCTTCCATTTCTGGGACCAACTCTGTTAGCTCCGACAGTGGTGCTCCTTGCATATTTGGTTCCGGTTGGCAGCCCACCCAGTCACCCATCTTTACTTCCACATTTAATACTCTGTCTCCTTCTACTGGCTTCTCCTTTGGAGCATCCTCGGCTTCTGTTGCTGCTAGCAACAATGCACCGTTGGTGTTTGGATCCTCTACTGGTGCCACGTCGCCGGCAATTTTCTCATTTACTAACGCTTCTGCTATGACCTTGTCTTCACCATCTCTTTCTCAAACGCAGCCCGTATTTGGTAACTCTAACTCTGTCTTCACAGCATTCTCAGCCAATGGTGATCAAACGAACATGGAAGATAGCATGGCCGAGGACCCTGTGCAGGCATCCACACCTGTAGTTTCCATATTTGGTCAACCGCCCATCTTGTCTCCTCCAGCTGGCTTTGGCGTGTTTGGTTCAACAGCCCCATCACCAGCAATTCCCTTTCAATTTGGTGGCCAACAGAATCAAGCCGCTCCGCAGAACTCTTCTCCTTTTCAGGCAACGAGTAGTCTAGAATTCAGTGCGGGAGAGAGCTTCTCATTGGGCTCCGGTGGCGGTGATAAATCTTCGCGTAGGTTTGTAAAAGTTAATAGAAACAAAAACCGGGGGAAGTAAATATAGTAATCATCAGATTGGTTTCCCTGGTGGAGGCCGTTGGTAGATGAGAAGATTACGTATTTGCCGAGAGATTAGCCGCTGGAGTTGGCTGTTACTGTTGGTAACTTGCAAAATTATTTATGCTCATTAAAATCAGCCTCTCCATGCATTTTTAGATCTGGTAACTCTGTATGTTGCTTTATATTTCTTCCTAAATTGGCAAATTGTCACAATTTTGGACAAGTAAATCTCTGTAGTAAATCAAAGAATGTATTGTATCATTAGCCACACTACTTCACGGGGTTTTGGGTTGGGGAATTGTAAAGTGGAGCCTGCTTCATTTACTCTCATTTGTAACATAAAAGGGAATGGTATGAAGCTCTTTTGAGAAAGATTATTTGCCTCACACTTGCGCATTTCACCTTGTGCATATATTTGTGATAGGGGGCACATGTTCACCTATTTGAGTCGGAGGATATAAATCTGTTAGGAATTGAGGTGTTGATTAGTTTGCATCTCAGAAATTATTTTTTAATTTTGGAAATAGTTTCTAAGAGAAAAGTTGTTTGGTTAGACAAAAATTTTTGGTTTTATTTTTTGAAAATTGAGAACAAAAATTAGATAGATTTAGAAAATAAGTTAGAATTGTTTTGTTTGTTTTTAAAAACAACCATTCCAACATTTAGAAAATAACACCAACACCATATTTTCACAAACACTTCCACCACTACTGCACAATCACAACATTTCCACCACACCACCACCACACTCTCACCACCGTGTCCACTCACCCAACACCACAATTTCACTACTACTATATTTTTGTTTTTATTATTTTTTAGGTTATTGATTAAATAAGTTTTACTGTTTTTTATTCTACAGAACTATATTTAGAATCATATAACTAAACAAGTTTTACGGCATAACAAACACCAAAAGTAATTTTCTAGAATTCTTTCTAAAAATAGTTTTTGAATATTGGTTTTTTTTTTTTTTTTTTTACGACCCTTAGTTTCCTTACCTTCTGATCCACTATCATAGGGTAGAAACACTATTTCTGGTGTTGGTTGAAATTTTAGTATTACAACAAAGTTGTGTTGTATCAAAAGTTGGTAAAGCGTTGGTTTGAAATCCAACTTATTTTGGATGAATAACAATGGGAGAAAAGGAGAGAAAGAGGGGAGAGAGAAAAAAAAGATGAAGAAGGGGAAAGAGGGGGGGTGTTCGAATTTACGTTTATAGGCCTTTGAAGTGTGAATTTTACCAGTGGGGAAGGACCGTGGTTTTGTTTGATTGATATGTGAGAGAATTAGGTTTGCACTTGTGAAATTGATTCCAAACCAAACCCAAACCCTCCCCCCCCTTCTTTTCTCTCTTCCTCCCAAACAAAAAAGGCAATTTGGTTGTATCGGAACCTGTAACTTGGGACATGTATTTCGTATAAGCATGAGAAATTGCTAAGAGCCGAAGGCAAAGAAAATGAAGCTAGTAGCAGTGAGCACAACAAAAATCCGAGGGAACGAGCTGAATTTTGAACAAAAGAATGGGCAACATCACTGTCAACATTTATCTCTCTCAGAATGGGGTTTGGGATGAAAATTTTCCCAACTTCTGTTCTATTTTTAATTGTAACGAAGATTGACTTGATAAATCAAGCACTACATTGGTGAACTAATTCAAAATATAGAAAATGAAGGAGGCCAATTTGCTCTTGAACAGAGTTGATCTACTGATAAGAAAATAACGTCAAATTCAGCCATCTCGACTGGAAATTTACAAATATAACTATTTTCATGGGCCAAATCTTTTCACACCAACATCGGACTGCCCAATGCTAGACCGGGACGACTCGACTCCCACTAGCCAGCCACTATTCCTAAGTGGAACTTAAAACACACATTCACTAATATAGCAATACCACAAACTACAATTGACAGCTAAGCTCTAGCAACAACTAAATTCAATGAAGAGTTACCAAAACAGAAATGAAAGACCTTGCTCTGAAGCAAATTTAAGAAATTGAGACCTTTCAAGTATATGTAACATGGCATCTGCTCCATATTGCCCATATGTATGATCATGTCAATTTCTTATCGTAAAAAAGGATCACGTCAATGTGTTACTGTGAGCAATTTTACATGCCACTGGTACAGCAAGGGCACACTGAGGGCGTCATGGTAATTTAAAACCGTATCTAAAAGCATATATCCAGGTTTCATCAAAGTTAGTCAAGTAAACTAAGAGGAGATATTTTACATTGTATTCCACACAGGAGAAGGAACATTTGAAAGACCAAAAATATAAATGAAATCATCTAACTAGACTGACCAATTTAGTGATGGATTCATGCAAATGCCATTGGTGAACGTGGGTCGAAAGATGGCCATTAGTAATACCGAGCACCAGCATTGTTGTTGTACACACGGCCCTGCGGATATGGAACCCTTCCCTCAGTTCCTTGGCTCCTCCCACCCCCAAGAGATGAAGTTCGATCTCTATAGGATTCATACTGACCTGTGGCATAAGCTTGATGTGCTTCTGTGGCTGCAGACCCGCTGTAACCATGGGGATCAACTGAACTTGCTATGACAAGGTGATGGCTTATTCCAGCTTGCTGATATTGATGAAGTCGTGCCTGTGATTCCTTGCGAAGAAACTCTTCTCTTCTATTGGCTTGTAGGGTTCGAAGTGATGATAGTTTCTCCTGGTATTGGTTGCTTATCTCCACTATTTTCTGAAAAAAGCATGACATTAAAAAACAATTAAGAAAGTTTAGAATTCAAGACAGCTACTCCTGAGATTGTGTTTTAATCTTCATAGTCTTTGTCTTTGACATGACTCTGCAGAAGAGAAGGGTAGGGGATGGGGGTGACTAAAGGGAAATTCAAACAACTGGCAGTCATAGCATTTTAGTCCGTTAAAAAACTACATATTTAATGAATGGGAACTAATAGACATTGGCCAAGAAAATCTTACTTTTCCTAAACAATAAAAAACATCACCAGTTTTGTCCCTTTTATTCGAGGATGCTGGGAGAGGTGGATTGGGTATATACCTAATCTTTAGTAATTTAGACTCCAACTGGTAGACATTAGCCAAGAAAAATCATACTTTTCCTAAACATAAAAAGTCATCACCCAATTTTGTCCCTTATAATCAAAGATGCTGGGAGATGTGGATTGGGTATATATATACCCAATCTTTACTAATTTTCAATCAAATTGGTTGCCCTCATATTTGACCCGGCAACCTCACTATTGTTAGCCTGATACCTTATCAATGCACTGGACTGAGTTCAACTTATTTTTTACCATATCAAAGAAAAAGAGGATTCATGTCCAAGGAAAAAAAACAACGGCAAGCATCTAAGTCACTTTGCACTAACCTCCCTGTGCCTAGTATTTTCTGCATCCTCTTCATCACCATGTTCTTTTATCAGTTTCAAAATCTCATCCTGGAATTTCTGCTCCAGGCCCTCAAAAGTTAGTGATGAAGGTTTATCTTCCTCATACCCGATCTCCATGTCTTGTTCATGGGACTGGAGGCTGGGTTCTTTGCTGGCTTGTTTTTCTATTTGAACTTTCAGGTCTGGTGTCTGGCCCCGGTAAAGAGATCGAATGCCTCCTTGGCCTGCTTCATGTCCAATTAACAAAAAAGGCACAAAAAAGACAGCCATCATTAACACAATGCTTTCTGCACCATTTAACATGATCAGTGGGTCTAAAAGGAACATCCAAAACAAGAATATCATAAAGTGTATAGTCCAAATAACCTTTTTTGCCGTCTTGCTTTACAGTTTCACTTTCTGAATGAAAACTGATACTCACAGCAACAACGATTCACTCATACTTAATGGAAGTTCTGTAGGAAACCATGCTAGCTTTTAAGGAAACACTTGTCCAAAACATTAGGCTTCTAAAGCTGGAACTAGGTTCAGAAGATTTCAACTTGTCCTTCAACAATGGAGTTTGAAAATTTTCCTCCCCACCTCTGCAACCCCAATCCCAAAAAAAATAGTAATAAACTCAAAAGAAGTGAACATACTCCGTCCAAAAAATTTTCTTTAAAAAACATGCAAGCAAATCGATACATTTCTAAAGTATCAAAATTAATATTCCTATTATGCTAAATCAAAAGAATTTTTCATTTCTAACAAAAGAAACAAAAACGTTTACTCGCCTCGGCAATGCCTTCATTCCAAACAACTTAGAGCTAGTTACACAAATATTCACCATGCATCTTTATTGCAGATGATATCTATATTTGTTTGTTAAAGTTTTAGTGTCCTGCTATTCCACTCTCTTTCTAACAATCCTCAGCTTTAGCCAAGGGCAGAGCCACAGTGGGGGCAACTGCCCCCACGGCAATTTTGAAAAAAATTGGGATACATTTAGTATTTTCAAAATTTTAGGATCTTGCCCCCATTGAAATATTGTAAAAAAGTTAGGGTATTTATGCATTTTAAATGTGGATTTCTACAAATTTGATAGGCTTACATGTTGATCTCCATGTGTTGGCTCTACGTATTTGGGGACTATAGAGCTAAAATAAAACATCAAAAATACAGATTTGTTCTTACTCCAGTAAAATATGATCCAAAAAAAAAAGTCTCCAACAAAAATAGAAAGTAATCCTAACCGTATATATCCTCACTTTTAAATCTAATGATTCCAAATGAAACAAACATTTAATTAAAATTCCAACAGATTTGAATTTATTTTGGGTCACACTCGATCTCTATAGGCTAGTGGCATCCAATTTTCTTTATTTGGATAATTTTAATTAAGTATTATAATGCTAACAATTTTAATGTGACTCATGAACATGTCACAAAATTAACTCAGAATTAGAGTGGTTTAATCTTACTAGATTTGGGTGATAATGAATAGAACCATTAGATCTCCCAAATAAATGATTCGACATAAACTTAGATAAACATAACACATTCTTAATAAACATAACTAATACATAGTGCAAACCCAATAAGATATTAGCATAACTATACATGATTGTAAACATTATTTTCTCATAATTTTTCTCTTTTGATATCCCCTTACTCTTTTTTCTTTCTTTTATCTTTTCTCTTTAATCTTTCGTCAATTCGTTTTTGATTCTATTAGTGTTTAGCTAGTACATTGAGTGGATAGCTTTAAAGAAAATGAGAAATTCTGTCAGAGCTATTGTGAGGGATAACGCATAAACAATTTCTATAATTTCGATAGTTTTCGCAATTTTTTTTTAATTTTCTTAGCACTATAATTAGAGTTATGTTATTATTACTTCTTCTTTTTTTTTGTTAACAGTTAGCAACTATGATCATTTGGATTTGAATCGAGTGTATCGATCTCTTTGGAATATTATGTACAATGATCGATCTCTTAGAAAATTGGATAATAATGAAAGTTCAATTCAAGAAATGAGTTTACTCGTATGATCTTAATTGACATTTATAAATAACTTTTATAGTGAGTTTTTTTTTTTTTTTACATTGCTCTTTTATGCAGTTTTTTTTACAAAAATAAATGTTAACATTCTTATTAAATTTTATGTTGCCCCCACTGTGGGAGAACCTTGGCTCCGCCCTGGCTTTAGCCAAGTCGCTTTTCCCACAAGGCACAATCACAATCTTTGATGCACGAGCAAAATATGCAAATAAAAACATTCACATCTTGAAATCAATTTAGCCCCCTCTAGCTCCTCAAAAAAGCATTCATCTCACACTCCTTTCTCGCATAACCACTCATCCATTTTTCCTCTTTCACCATTTTAGTTATCTCATCTCTGTTAGCTCATCCAAATTATACTAATTTTTACAACAAATCTAGTCTGGATTTAGCAGTATTACGAGGCACAAAATGTTCTTGACAAATATACTGCACTATAAATTTTCCTTTCAACTTGGAAGTACCCCATGATCATATAACACTTCAGATTTTTTCCCACTAAATCCAAAAATAATCCATCTGACACAACAAAATGGATTGTTTTAGGTCATCCGGCCATGGATTTTCACAATTTACTTAAAGTGGCATTACATGTTTCAAATATCCATTCCATTCCACTTATTCAAAACATTAAGTAGCACCTAGAGGTTCTTAATTAATTGCTAGTCTAATTTCACAAACTATATTTATATCATTGGAAGATGATTCTATTTGGAAAGCATCACTGGAAACTGCCCATTAAGCTCATCTAACTAACACCTAGGAGAGAAACCCTAAAGCCCTACGTTTGATGAAAACCTCAAATGATTGAAAATTTATTCCCTTTCAACGGCAATCTTCCTCTTGAGTGTTTTCACTTTCCTTTTTCTTTATTCTTTTTTTCACTTGAAGAGTGAAGATGTAAGCGATCACCTAGCAATTACTTCATCATGCATGTCATTGATCACAATAAACTACCTTATCAATACTCCTTTCTCTTGTGAGACCCACCCACCCAACCTTTCCATGAACCATATCATACATTAGCTAAGTTAGGGATGTCATGTTTCCTTTCTAATTGACATTCGTTTCTCCAGAAAAACCAACCACAAGTACCTTTTCAGGGTAGTCCTAAACTTCCTACCACTAGATAAACCCATATCAAAACCTTTCTTCTGCTATCTAAACCTGTTCATCAATGACTTAAGTAAAAACTAAAATACACTCCATTAGTGGTATTATTATTTGTTCCATTACTCTCTCCTAATAAAGCAGGGCAGCTCATCATATTTTCATCCTTTACGATGCAAGCGATGAAATTAATATCTAGATTTTTGGAAGGTGCCCATATGTATATACTTCTGTAGAAGTTTTTGTTCTCTAAACCTGAGGCCGCCCTTGGAAAGGTTATCAGTCATGCATTTTTACAAAATAAGTATTTTTGCATTTCCTGCAAAAATGTTTTCTTCTTCACTGAAAAATTCCAATCCCCTCCTATAATGACCTCAATATCATCCAGTTTTCTACGTTTCATTCTCTTTGCACACACTTCCTACCTATTCTTATTCCTAACTATTCGTGTAGCCACATATTGCTACATCCACCAACCTCAACAACAATTTGAAATTGAAAAACAAGTTCGTTACTATTCAAGTATTCGTTACATGTGTTTATTAATAAAAAAAAAAAAGGCAAAATGAACGAACAAAACGTATACATTTCATAAAGTCTGTGCTAGCCATTACAAGCTTGATAATCCATCCAAATCCAAAATAACACTTTATCTCTCAATCTTTTCCCTCAAATCCATAAATCACGTACCTCGGTCATCCCCTAATATTTATCTCTGTGGGCCATTAATTATCCCAACATTGCCATTTAGTGCATTTCTTAAAAAATTAACTGTGGGTGTATATACAATGACAATCTCCTTACCCTTCCCTTATGTTTGCCTTTTCCTATGCACCACACTGGCTTTACCAAATTTCAAATGTTGTAGACTCTCTTTGCTAGGCATCATGTTGATTAACCACCAAGGCACCAACTCTCTAGAAATACTCCCCAGGTTCCAAAAAGCCTGAGTAACATCCTTTCCCATGAAGACAATGATAGACAACATCAAAGTAATAAGGTTCAGCAGATCAATAGAAATTTAAGTTTCACTACATTTCTAATTAGTAAAACAAAAGTCAATCATATTATTTTACCAAATTATCGTTTACATAAACTACTAGAAAAATTGATTTCGTTTCTATTTTACAACTAAAAGGTTCTAATTGAAAATTATGATCACTTTGCTCATAGAATTCTTCAACTGCAGCATGGGTCCGAGGAGAGAAAAAAAAAAAGGAGACATTGCATAGAAGAAAAGGTTCTCCGTTATGTGACTCGAGCTATGGGCCTAGGGCGGAGGGACGAAGGTCGAAGAATGATTTTAGCTCAGATGACATCAGGATTACATTTCACACTAGCCCAAAGGCAAAGATAAAGAACCCTTAATCAAACTAAGAGGCAACAAAGGAGAAGAATCCCCTCTGGGGAAGATCTAGTCCTATTCTTCTACATAGACTATAGATCTGGTTTGGATACACTAGAAGAGTCAAAGAGGAATGCCTTTATTTATGCATGTAGAAGGTTAGGCAAGAGGAATGACCCGGTCTCTCGATCCAAGGATCCTAGGAAAGAGAAGCAAACTCACTTAGGAAGTTGGAACATGGTTACCACAATTTACTAAACCCTTAACGACTCACACATCAATCCCAAACGAGGTAGGTTCGCGATCCAGATTGTCAAAATGAACGATTTCAAATTATAATACTAACTCTAAATCAATTCACTTTAGAATATGTAATACAAATATAAAATATTAATTGGCTAGATTTATAATTATATATTGTTTTAGATGATAGAAAATCAAGCACAACTATAAAAAAAATGATAACCAACTTAGTGTTTATAAATGTTTTGTAATATATAATTATTGTATAGTAGTAAAAATGATTTATATAAGAGTTTCAAAATGAATTATGACCCAAGATATCGTACCAGCTAAACTTACTCTCATTGTATCGTGTAACTAAGAAAGTGTTGTACCATATACCCGTACTCGTACTACACACCAAAACGACCCACGGTCCAGGTAACATTGAGCTAGAAGCACTGGGAAGGTATATTGATGAGTCCCACCCAGGAAAGAAAGATCGGCAAAACAAGCAATGGACTCTCTTTAGGAAGAAATAAAAGACTTGTTAGTTCATCTTGGCTTGGATCAGGAGGGGTCCAACTTATTCTATTACACAACCGAGTCTCTGAAACAATCAGTTGTAGACTAAGGTGTCCTCCTACTATTTTGCTATGATCTTCCCAGTAATTCATATAGGAGCTATAGCCGTTTTATTCCTATTCATTCTTATGATGTTCCGTATTCAAATAGCACAAATTCATGAAGAAGTATTGCGCTATTTACTAATGAGTGGTATCATTGGACTGATCTTTTGGTGGGAAATGTTTAGTGTCCCTATCCCTTAATCATCAAGCTACCCTCAAATTCTTCCTTCTAGATATTAATGAGATGGGCGAGAAGGATAGAGCTCAACTTATTATATACGAATACGGATATTCCTTGTCATTCTAATCTTGATATAGTTCCAATAGGCCTATTCTTTGACTCTCCTATAGTGTATATTCTTTCCACTCCTGCTGATTACTATGGTGATGTCTCCCGGGATTCCAAGACTGGTGTGAGTTCTATATTCAGTTACAAGGATGCGAGTTATGCGGAAGTCATTGGTCAAGAGAGTAAGCTTGAGTCAACTTACCAGTATATTCAAATGGAATATTGCCCAAGGTAGAACTTCTTACTCATTTTTTGTCCCTTAGGATATTATGATATCGGTCTAGCGTGATTTAAAATATCAATATTGACATGATCTTGAATTGTTTCCTTTGACCTCCACAAGCACCCGAAGTGGTGGGAGCCTCGTACACTAGACTGCCCCTGATACCTTTGGTCCATCCTTATATCCACCCCCTGAATTCCCACCCCTACTTTTTTTTTTTTGTGTGTGTGGGGGGGGAGCAATCTCCCAAAAAAAACACACTCACATCCAAAATACTCATATTAAGACGACCAAAAAGAGACATTGAATATATATTTAAACGAAGGCCTATCGCCTATCACATGGCAAACAAGATTTCATAGCTCATAGTAACACAAAAATATGTCAACATTTGGTATTCAATGAGGATCTGAGTTCATAATTTTTTCCAAACTTTTGATGAAATTTTGTAATGATTTTTGGCTAAATAACACATCTCTCTGGCAATTTGTTCTTATTTTAGGTGTTTTGCTATTCAATTTTGAGCCAGTATCTCCTTTATTAACACTTCGGCCCAAGCTCTTCTCTTAGAATCTTCTGTTTGACCCAACCACCCCCTTACTGCAGAGTCATTAGTCTTAGTCAGCAAGTCTTCACTAATTTTTTCTGCAGTGTCCTTAATTTATGTAGCGTTAACTTTCTTAGTTCTTACAAAGCAATTGTGTCCACGCAAGAGAAAAGTTCATGTGTGCTCTCAACTGTTCCCACACTATCCATCACTCCAAAATAGTAGCCTTTTATCATGCCAAACTGAACCCTAACATTCCCTCTCTTCAAATTGAACACATTACATTCCTATCAAATTTTAATAGCTCAATTCTAGAGTGTTACATGGATCCAAGATAGAATCCTTCCAACCCTTGACACAGTGTTTCACAAATATATATCGCACTCCACCTGGAAAATGAATTCATTTGAGACCCATTGGACCCGTAAGTCTTATAGACTCATAAAAAACACACAACTTGAGAGACTTCAAAGTACCTATGAAATTTCATGAATGTACACTAAAGATAACATCAAAATCTGAATTCTCAACAGTAATATCCCATCACAATTCTACGATATGATTCACTTAAATGTAGAAGAACAATACTTGCCTGCTGTGTATGGTTGAGATGACATCGGATTTGATACGTTTGGTACATCTCTGTCCCACTGCCACTGCCCTCCTGTCCGAGCAGTAACGTATGGATCCCCTTGCTCAGCAGGAAAAGAATTTGATCGCCCGGGCAAATTATTCAGTGCAGCCTTCTGTTGCATTCTCTCTCCAGCCAGTTTCTGCATCTGAGCAGCAGTGTATGGATTGATACGGGAATCAGCATATGGGGACTGCCTATCCATCTTTTCTGTTTATTTGGAATCAAATTTTTGAATCTACCTAATAACAAAACAGCCAATACAACAAAATGCAATTGACAATTAGTCACAACAATGAAAGTATCCACAACGAGGACAAAATTCTATGTAATTGAATTGGAAAAAGGAAAAAGAAGAACATTCAAACCTTACGGACCATAAATTATTTTACCACTACAGATTGGACAATTAGCAATGCCCATATATATGTGCACTGAATATACCTATACGTGCTTAGGTCCCAAGTTGGGGCACAAACCCGGATACAAGCTTCAATTTTTAGCTAAAATTGGTAACAAAAGTTCTTGATTGTACTGATTTATTATAACCTCTTGATAAACCCAAACGCAAGATTGAAGAAACGATTCCAACCATTAATTTTTTCAATTGATGGGAAAAACCAAAATGGTTGATTCACTCCCACTGTCAACTGTTACGGTTTTAGGAGGTGGATTGGAGAGACAATCAAGCCAGATATTGGCAATTCATATATCAGTCCACACAATTCATGATTTTTCGTTCATCCACTTTTGTCATACTATTCCCATACTTGCATTAATGGCTTCATTCAAAATTTTAAGACAAAAAAAAAATATCTATTTGGGGATAAACCCAAGAAACACTTTTCATTTCATCCCAAAAGTTCCGCTTCTTGCACTAAAAATTAAGAAAGACTTGTTAGAAATCACCGTTTGGGTTGGTCCAACCAAGAAAGGAATGGAAGTCTTTAGGCAAAGTTTGGGCTAACTCAAGCTTGGATCGAGTTAAATAAAAATTGGCTACCTAGAAAGATCCTTCACTGCACACTGTGGGGAAATCTGTCTCCATTATCAATTGCATGTTCTAGTTGTGAATTGGGGAGAGAAAAATGGTGAGGCTATAATTTCAATTCTACAGTTTTGTTTTTGATGTTGAAGCCATCTTTATACATTGGTAATGATCTTCATGTTGGTAGAGGGCGCTTGTTGCTTTCATGGAACTAGTTCATGCGCACTTTCAATTCTTCTATAAATAAACATATATGAAAAAAGGTGTGATACATATCGACCAACAGAACAAAATAGATAAGGCTTACTAACTAAGGTTCGACAAATATCTTTGGCTAGCACCTTATTGTCCACTTCTAATAAATGCGATTGACTCAGTCTTGGCTAATCTACTGCTATCAAAAGTGAGTGACTATTCAGTAGAACAAATATAGTCAGAGCACTCATAAGTCTGAGTCCAATAGCTTTGTCGTAATGGATATATTCATTTTTACCTCCTATATTAACACAATATGACAATGCGATATTAACCCAGGCTATTATTTAACAAAAAACACCCAAATTCCTTATATCAATTCAGGGTGATAAATGGCCTAGGAAATTGGAGTCATATGGACCTAATGCACGCAATGCTAGATAAAAGAAATGGTAAAAAAGAGAGAGAGATTGAGGCTATATTCAGAAACCTGCGAACAATACTGCAGTGTCTGAGAAAGATGAATTAAACGACTTAATTAAGCCATTCAAAATGTGTCCAAGTCAACGTGGAGTGCGACTCATGGTTTGAACATAATGTGTATTGGTCTCAGATACGACTTGACCGAGTTGTATCGGTATAAGCCGATACTTTGAACCAAGAGTGTAATAAGGCTAGCCTAGAGGATATCACCCTATGTACCTAAAGGCTTAATGGGCCAATGACTAGTTAGGCTAATGGTCACCATCGTCCACGATAAAGCTTGAATAGACCAATCACCAATGGCAATGACATCATGATATCAGTCCAGGGATGTTGACTTGACACATATGCATCTCATCTTGAGCAAACAATATGGATTTCAAGATGTGTCAAGAAAACAGGAGCAACCAACAAGAAGTGTGGTAACTGTGGCAATGGCCACGACAAACAATCATTCGATGAAGAAAGAATAGTGGCCAGAAAGTGGGGAGCAGTTATCGACATGAAGTAACTCCAACAAACATGGCTAATGCACTTAACAATTGTGTCTATAGAGAGTAGCAGAAAGATGACAACAACAGACAACTCTACTCCACAGACAACCAGCCTCTGCAACTACTCAGAATTCTCGAGCTGTAGTCCAAAATTCTCCATAACCTCCATCTTACATTCTCTTGTACATAACTTAGAATCATTAGATCATTCTAGCCCACATTTATTACTAAACAGCACAACCAGAATTGGTACAAATAATCACATAAATAACATAAGTGACTAAACAAAAGTTCATAATCTAGTTTGATTCTCCTACATTGAGGGTGCTCAGAGGGATGAACTGAATAAATACCCAATTTAAGAACAGCATTAAAAAAAAGTAACGATACACCCATCAAAGTGACTTGTAATTTATGGTCTTAATTAGAAAATGCTCGACCATGGAAATTTTTGTTTAAGAAAAATCCTGCATCATATAAAGTTTGAGCTGGGAATTTTTTCTCAATTCTCATCCTGGTCCACATGCTAAGCTTCCAAAACCTTATTTGATTTTATCGGGTAGCCCAGAACTCAGTTTATCACAACAGTTTGAACAATTAACAGCTAAACCATATATACACACCAAATTTATCTATACGAGTACGAGCTTGACTCCAAAGTTGGGTAAAAACCCTGATACAAGTTACAATTTTTAGCTCAAAAATTTTCAAAAACAAAAGTGCTTACTAGTCTCGATCTCTCTTATATCCTGTTTGCGGTCATTGGGAAACCCAAACGCAAGGCAGAAGGACGATTCTTTGCCAAATCAAAATCAAAATCAAATATGTTTCACTCCCACTATCAGCTGGTATGGTACAGAGACGAGGGTGGCGGACGGGAAAGGAAGCTGCCAGATTTTGGTTATTTGTATATATTTATCGGCTATTTACAAATTTCCAATCATGCACTCATATTTTACGGATACTTGCATTGATGCCTTCGTTCAAAATTCTAGGATTAGAATAAGGCTGTAGTAAATTTTTACCCAACACCAAATTAGTAAATTAAATTTTACCAAGTCTTCGTAAAAACTACAAAATGCAACCACTTGGTAATAAAAATAATAAGCACTTTTATATTTATATTTGGTTCGAATATTAGATTTAATACAATAAATTTATTTCAATTGATAGTATGTTGAGAAATTATTGGATTATTTTTCATATTTTATTTTTATATCTTAATCTAGTCATGGGAACTCAATGAGAACAATCCAAACCTGTCATGGGGATTGAAGTTAAAAATATGTCAATTGACAATTAACACTCAATCTCTTATATCGATCCCAACCAAGACAAACTCATAAAAACCAATTTTAATGATTGAAAGATAAAACGATCAAACATCAAACACATGGTGCGCATGTCAGCATCAATTTGCAATGTACAAGGAAATTTAAAGCAATAAGAGACACAAGCAATTGTTGACACAGAAATCCAATCGGAAAAAATTGCGGGGAACCATTCGGGATTCATCAAAGTTTAATCCACTATCCAAAGTCAATATACAAAATACTTGAGTCTTATACTTCAATCAATACCATGACTAGATGCTTCTTTCCTTCAATAGATCTCTCCATCGAAAGTCCCTTTTCGTTGTTATGGATAATTTCACTTGAACTCTCCACTGCAATGGATTGTTTTGACATTGAGCAATATTCTCCACCAGGGTCCTCGGTATGCACACTTTTCCAAAGTGGGTTTTGGTGAATCCTCAACCAAGATCGTCTTCTCCAAGTCTCAAGATGAGTAGCCTTGGATTTAGGGATCTAGGGTTGTTCCTAAGCTCCATATATATTCAATAGGCAAAATTTAGGTCATAAGAGGCTTTCCCTAGTATGAGAATGCTTCCCTATATTTATAAGCTCCTAATTAGGTCAAGTTTGGGGATCAAGTAGACTGAAATTCACAAACAGAACAGTGGGAGGGCGGTGGGGGCTAGAATAGAAAAAGTTTTCAAAGCTTAGCAGAAGATCAAGGACCACTCGAGCAATCTCAAGACCGATTGAGCTCAGGACCACTTTGCTGGTTTGCCTTGAGCTAGAACAGTATCTAAACACTGAGTAATAAAATTGACAAAGATTGATGAGTTGAAAATCAAGCAAACAACTTATTCCTTGAGCACTAAAAAGTGTTGCTCAAGTGGGGTCTGATGAATGACTCAATCTATGTTTTCAAAACATAGTTAAGGTTTAGAAACAAAATTCTTTGAAAATCCTAGGAGTCATTTCTAGATTTTTCTAATTCTATTTATTCCTAAATTATCCTAAGTCCAATGAATTAAACAAAGGGTTTCATAGGTTTTGAAGGTCACTACCTTTGTCCTAAGCTTGAAGGTGCGTTAGAGTGATCTTGATATGACATTATAGCTGATCTCGTTCCATTTCTTATCGCTTATGAATCTTGATAACTATGAAATTAGGTTGAGATTGCATAAGACTTCACAAAATTAGCCAATTAAAAATATGATCCTTACAATCTCCCCTTTTGGCAATTTTGTGACAAATATAAGAGTAAGAAATTAAAGATTACAACTCAAAAACCACTGAGAACAAAATCAATTGTAAACTAATCTCAACACTCTAGTATAAGTTTGTCCATCTCAATAGTAAGTACATAAACTATCTTCTTCATGAAATTTTTGAAGATCATAGTGATGCACACCACAACTCAAGCAATACCTCGTGAAAAGTATCATAAATAATTCATAACATAATCACAAGTATAAAAATCACTAAGAGAAGTGTAGGGTATTTTCATGTTAACATTATGCACATGCAAATATGTAACATACGTAAGTAATGTTAGCCCATTATGCTTGAGAACCTATAGATTTAACAAAGGCAATACACAACTAGTTCTCCCTTTTAGTTGGTATTCACAAACAAAATAATAAGTGAAAAATAAATAAAGAAAATATTTGACTTCATTTCAAATTTATGTATGTGCTCCCCTAGTATTTCAACAAACTCTCCCTTACTTTATTATCATGCAACTAACCCTAGCTAGCAACACAAATATCTCCTAAAATTACCCAAAAAAAATTGTCCCCCTTTTTGTCACAAAGTGTCAAACACACAATCATAACAAGGAAAATAGAGAAACATGGTATAATAAAGAGATATCAATACAAATTATCTAGCATGAATAGGTATATAGAATAAGGAAAATGATAAACATGGCATAAAACTCCAAGTCAGTAATGATAAAAGGCATCAAGGCATAAGAATAAGAGTGTGTCACAACAAAAGAAAACAAACAAATCCACTATCTCAAGGTCAATGTATAAATACTCAAGTATTATACCTTAACTAATACAGTTGTTAGATGTTTATTTCTTTCAATAGATCTTTTCATCGAAAGCCCCTCTTCGATGTTATAGATAGTTTCACTTGAACTCTCTATCGTAATGGATTTTTTAGGGCTTGAGCATTCTTTTTCATCAAGATCCCTGAAATACACACCTCTTCAATGGATTTTGGATGATCTCCAAACTAGATCGCATTCTCCAATATGTGAAGTTGGACGAGAGTCTCAAGATGGATTTGCTTTATTCTCTAGGGTGTGGCTTGATTCGAATGTGTACACCCAAGTGTAGGCGGTCAAGTTGTAGTAATAATCCGGTTAAGTCCGGAGTCAAATCCACAGGAAACTATGATTGGTGTTTTGAAATAAGCAATAATAGAGACCAAGTGACTGAAAATTTTGAGAGTTTGGAGTGGTGGAATTTCTTGAATAGAATAGAAGATTCTTTTCAAGGGTTTTTTAGACAAAATATAAGATAAATTCAAATATAAAACAGTCACCCTTTAGCTTGAGGATCAAAACATGTGGTTAATCATTCGATTTATTATACTTGTGTTTTATAACTCAATTAACTCTCGTGTCAACAACAAGTAAATCGGAAGATAAAGATGGACTGTGAGAATTAAGCACATTATTATGATGCCTTTCTAGAAGTGGACAAGAATTGTCTGTGCCGAGATTTAACTCGTCTACAAACGAGCAAGTGTTTCTACAAGACATCCAACCATGATATTAATGTTCCATTCTTTAGATAAAGCACGATAATAGTGCAGATTGAAATGTATCATGCAGATATCGCCTAGGTACTTGCCTTGAACCAATAGATTATTCCATGCAAGAGTCATATGTGACATAGAAAGAACCCATGGTTAAACAAGGTACCTTAGCTTTGCTATACACATTCAACCATTCAATGAACAAGTGAAAATATAAAGCATTAAAGCATAAATGGATTACACAAATATAACTCACAGATAATTTCTACATATTCATCACCTCTAACTAAAGAGTGAATGAGGAACTACTCACTCTTCATGGCTTGGATAAAGCTAGAAAAGTGAGTAATGTTCATCCCCCCAAGTAGAGAACTTACAAAGTAAAGTACAATAAACGAGGAGCCGATATTTACCAAAGAATAAGTGAATCACGTTCCACCCTTCATGACTTTGGTAAAGCTCTAAAAAAGTGAAAGAGTTTCACTCCTCTAAGGAAGCTCAAGTAATGAAAGTGAAATAAAGTAGAAGAAAGCTAGTTACTTTTGGAGGGTTTTCACCACAACCAAAAGATGAGCTATCTCTCTTGATACTTGTAAATAAAAGCAAGTATAACTACAAGGGGAGTCTAAGCCTCCATCATGGTTGTCACGATATGAATATAAAGACTTAGCTCAAGTAAATAAAAGACTTCAACTACAAGGGGAATCTAAGCCTCCATCATAGTTGATACAAATACAAAATGAAAACATAAACAGAAAATGTACAAGAACTAGCTCTCTACTCTACTTTACAAGAGAAAAAAATTGTACTCTACTCCACAAGAGAAGTCATGCCCCCTTTGAAGCTCCCACAATAGGGGTATTTATAGGCAAGGAAAAGGAGGGGGCATGAAGGAATAGTGTTTGCCGCCCAAGTCCAAGTGAAAAGCCAACAACTCTGCAGCCAATCAGTGGGGGACGTTCGAATGTGATTTGTCGTTCAAAAGTTGTGTCTATTTTTGTTTTAAGGGCGTTCGAACGTGATCTGTCGTTCGAACATTGTGTCTTTTTTTGCTTTAAGGGCGTTCGAACGCCGGAGGGGTTTGAACCCCCCTACTCAAGTGGCTTGTGGTCTTTGTGATGGTTACTTTCATACGTCTTGAACAACTCTGGCCTTGCACTCAACAACTTAGTCCTCAGTAACTCATGACAACGTTCGAACGTGGAGTGGCATTCAAACGTTGTACTCAAGTACTTCTGTGGTTCTGCTTTCTTTGCTGCAACACTCCAGCAGATCTTAGTAGTCTAGTCTTCTCAGGTTTTAGAGCACGTTCGAACGTGAGTGGGCGTTCGAACGTGGTACTCAAATACCTCAGCATTTTTCCTTTTTGACTGCAACACATCATGTCTCAGTAGCCCGGTTCTCAATTACTTCAAGGGAACGTTCGAACGTTGATCCACGTTCGAACCTTCTTGCTTTGTTCCAAGCTATTCCAATTTTGCCCCTTTATCCACTAGTGTTATATACAAGTGTGATATTTGTTGTCCTTGAGCTCTTGTTCACTTTAGGACCTGAAATGTCATTACTTAAACTCTATCAAAGCACAATTAGTCCCAAAAAGGCATAGTAAAATGCTAACTTTAAGCACTAATCAGGTTGTTCAAGGATCTAAGGTGTAAGAGGCTAAATTTTTCTTACAAAATAGATTACCCTAGCTTAGGAAGACTCTCTCTATTTACAAACTCATAATAGGGTTTGTCTTGGGACTAAATAAACCAAAATTCACAAACAACTACCAAGTAGTGGAAGGGTGGTTAGAGGGTTGTTGTCACTGGAATGAAAA